ACTAAAGTCAATGCCAGGTACTGCAGACAGAGTGCATTAAATGGAGCCAGACATCTCAAACTTCCAACAAATGAAACCCAAGGTACAGTGTTTTTAATTTGACTACAGAACAAACCTATGTTGATTGGTCAATATTAGAGGAGAACATTTGTATTTGTTGCAGAATATCGGAGGGATAGGTTTGTGTTTCATACAGAATGTCAGAGGCAACGGTCCCTGGTTATTGGAGAAGATCAGAGGGACAAACATAGAAACATAGAAGATAGGAACTGGAGTAGGCCATTCAACGATCGAGCCTGCTTTGCCATTTATTATGATCATGATTGATTGTCCAACTCAGTACCTTGTTGCTGCTTTCTGCACTTTAATCCATTTAGCTCTAAGAACTATTTGTAATTCTTTCACATTCAACATTTTGGCCTCAACTGCTTTCTGTGGCAGAGAATTCCACATGCTCCCAGTCTCTAGGTGAAGAAATTTCTCCCCCTCATCTCAGTCCTGAATGCATTACCCAATATTTTTAGGCTGTGACCCCAGGTTCTGGACTGCCCTGGTCATTGGGAACATCCATCCTGCATTTTCCCTGTCTAGACTTGTTAGAATTTTGCAGAACTCCCTCCATAGTCTATGTTTGTTGGAGAATGTCGGATACAAGGTTCTGTGTTTGTTGGGAAATATCAGAGGCACAAGTCTGTTTATTTTTAACGGTGACAAGCTACAGACTTTTTGTCACATTTTCAAACACAACTGAATAATTCTCATTCCGAATAACTGATGTTTTATGGATCTGACTTTGGTTGACAGGTAAATCTGTTGCAGCAAGACACTGGATGATCATTCAAAGTCACTTTTCCCCCCACCTCATCAGAAAACCATACAACAGTGACTGGCACAGAAATTCACACGGTTCATCATGCGATGTAACTGACCCTGCCTCAAATTTCGTGCCCTATTTAGAGCTTGAGTGCATGCTCACAATATTGCCAAGCAAGTACGAAAGCTCAGAACCATTTTTGCTTTATAAAAGGACTGCCAAATGTAATTTAAAGTAAAGAGTAAAAGTGTTCCAATATTTTCCGACAACACTTAACATTTTATACAGATGAATGACATAGTCCATTAAACATTTTGTGGGAGCACTACATTAATTTTTTTAAAAGCTTGAAGTGTGAGTCACAGCTCTATATCATTCTGACGCATGCACTCCCATTGCTCTATTAGCATTGAGCACTCAGTCCTTCAGACTTGACAACCATGCCGGGTCATCTGTCTGTACACACAGCATGTTAAAACATCTTCACAACTGCAGTTACTCCCTGAGCCAGTGCACAGATTACAAACAAATAGGTTTGCTCGGTAGAAAACCATCAATACTTTGGAAACAAAAGGTTGGCACCACAGAAAGGGAGCATCGAACTATGTGGAAATGAACATTTCTCAAGGACCAGCACCTTCTCACTTTCCACCTGCCCTCTATATTTTTCTATTCATTTTCAAAGTAAGGAGTTGAAGATTATCAAATCAACCATGACCTCATTGAATGGCGGAGCACATTTGTGGGGTAAATGGCCTTCCCCTCCTATGTTTTTATGATCTTATAGTGTCAATGCCCTTGAGAAGGTGGTGGTGAGCTGTCTTCCTAAACTGATGTAGCTCTTGGGGTGTAGGGATACCCACAGTGCTGATAGGGAAGGTGTATAAAGATTTTGACCCAGCTACCATGTGATTACACTCCAAATTTGCCAGAATTGTAACATTTCTCTAAAGTGACCCATTGCAAACCCATCACCACGGTCTTGTCAGGGTGACTGCATCTGGACTATGGATTGCCTTCCAGCAATGCTAATGAGTAAGGAATGGCCAATCTCTTGGTAACTGGTGCAAGTATTGGAGAGTCTATTGCTGGGTTCGTGTGGCCAATCTGACATGAACCAAGACAAAGTTAACTCTCAGACTCTGACAGGAAAGATGAGATGGCAGGAGCATCATCCCATAGCCTGGTCTGGATCAAATCACAGAGACAGTCAGACTGCCTGTGTACTGACCAGTCCCTCTATAATC